GTCCCGCCGTGGTTTCGGATCCCACATACAGACCGGTACACGCTCACTGGCTGAGTGAGGCGTGGGAGCGGCGCTGAGGGCTGTGATCCCGTTGCCGGTCCCGGTCCGGTGCGGGGGCGACACTGAGGGTTGCGGAGATCTGTTGTCGGACACGGAAAAAGACGAAAAAAAAAAAAAAAAAAGAAAATATAAAAAAGGAAATAATCTGGGGGGGGAAAAAAAGGTGAAAGACCAGTATATTGAAACTGAAAATCATTATTGAAAGAAATTCAACCTAAAATAAATGATATCCTGTGTTCATGGATTTGAAGATCCAATGTTATTAAATGTCAGTTCACCTCAAAGTGATCTATAGAATCAATGTAATCCCTATCAAAATCCCGTCTTTTTTTTTATTGAAACAAGCAGACTCTAAAATTTATATCAAAATCAGATATATAATTAAGCAGATACCAAGACTTCATAATATAGCCATAGTAATTAATACTGTAATTATGTACAGTAGCATTAATACACATACTAGACTGTTGTATGGGACCATGTATGGGTATTAGCATAGACAAAGAGCAGAAAAGAAAGTACAGATAGAGACACACACAGAGTCACTTAATACATGACAAAGATGACAAAGCAGCAGTGCACTATGGTAAAAGATAATTTTTTCAATATATGATTGGAGGTCAATTGGATATCCATAAGGAAAAGCAAATATTGGTTTTGTCTTATATCATACAAAAAATTTTATCCCAAGTGGATTGTAGATCTAAATATGATAGGTAAAATAATAAATCTTACATTAGAAAATAATATAAGAGAACTTACAATACACATATATGTGTTTTTGTAACAGATATATATGTTTTGTCCATGGTTCCTGGCTCTCCAAGGCAAGACCTAATCTTCCCCTGACTTTCTGTCCTAAAGCTGGCCGTAAAGAAATTCTCTGGTCTAACTTGACTGGTTGTAGGTGATAAGACCCCCATTTCAAAAAGGGTCCTGCCGTATGACCTGGAAGAAGAATTGCTGTACTGGGAGAGCAAGAAGACAGGCCTTGCTGGGTTTCCCCACTCAGTCTATTAGTATTAGATTGTATCCTTTTTGTCCAATTACATTTCTACACAGTTGTCCATGCATGAATCATGCCTACGTAATGAAGCTTTCATAAAAATCCAAAAGGACATAATTCAGAAAGCTTCCTGTTAACTGAACATGTGGGGAAGTTCCTGGAGGGTGGTACAACCAGGGAGGACATACAAGCTCCATACCTTCCCTTATGCATCTCTTCATTTGTATCCTTCGTAATATCCTTTATAATAAATCAGTAAATATAAGTGTTTCCCTTAGTTCTGTGAACCACTCTAGCAAATTAATTGAACCTAAGGAGGGGTTGTGGGCACCCCCCCCAATTTAGAGCTGGTTGACCAGACGCACAGGTAAAACAACCTAGGGCTTGAGATTGACATCTGAAGTGGGGGGCAGTCTTGGGGACTGAACCCTCAACCTGTGGGATCTGAGCTACCTCTGGGTAGATGGTGTTAATTGAATTAGAGGAAACCAAGCAGGAATCCACTGCAGAACAAATTGCTTGATATGTGGGGAACTTCCCCCCCCCCCCCCCCCCCCCCCCCGCTGGTTGACCAGACGCACAGGTAAAACAACCTAGGGCTTGAGATTGACATCTGAAGTGGGGGGCAGTCTTGGGGACTGAACCCTCAACCTGTGGGATCTGAGCTACCTCTGGGTAGATGGTGTTAATTGAATTAGAGGAAACCAAGCAGGAATCCACTGCAGAACAAATTGCTTGATATGTGGGGAACTTCCCCCCCCCCCCCCCCCGAAAATTGGTCACTGGTCTCAGAAGTCTTCTATATTGATTGTGGTGTGAGAGAATAGAAAAAAGTTGTATTTTTTCACTTTCAGGAAAGAATTCATAAGTAATATGTAAAGAATTGATCATGAAGAAAAAGATTTATTAGACTACATTAAAATTATGAATTTATTTTCATTAGTTAATTGAAAGACACCATTAGGAAGGTTTTAAAAAGATAAGTCACACGGTGGAAGAAGATATGTGCAATACAAATGATCCATGTCCAGAATATTTTTATTGCTTTTTAAGGAGTATAATAACTATGCTATCTGCTCTAAGTGAATCATTGTGCAGTATATACAACTATTGAAACGACACACTGTACCCCACAGATATGTACAAGTAAATGTTAAAATAAAGAAAAATTTAGAAAGGATATAAAGAGTATAATAAAGCAAAGATGTGTTTTAGTTTATCAGTTAATCCCATTTAAAGGGACTCTAAATTTTGACTCACAAGATTTTAGTTGTAAAACATTAATAATGAACCTAGAAACACTTGGCATTGAGTAGAATCAGTGCAAAAATAGCTCCTGGAGGGCAAGGGCTGTGTCTTATATATATTTCAATTCTTGAGTCTTTTGTGGTACCTGGCATATCAGCTTATGTTTACTGAATTAATGGATGAGTGTTTTATAATTACAAAGCATGCATAAAAGAGTAGACACTCTCATATGAGGACTGGCCTTTTAAGTTTAAACCTAAAAATCACAATAAGCATTACAGTTGGACAAAAGAATGAAAGCACTAATCCTTTTAGAATATGAAGATACAGTGCATTTTAGGGATGTAAAATATTGAGCACGATTATAGGGAGCTTTCCATGGGAGTTACCTTCTCCTCATGGGCAGGATAAAGGGAAGTGTCTTTGATCTACAAGGCAGAATGGAAAAGAAAATTTCGTCTTGGAGATAGGATGTTCTAAGCACATAATGCTACTTTGGAGCAGTAGAAATGGTTGAGACAGTGAATATTTGTGTGAGCTGAACAGAGCTTAGATTTAGCAAATGACAGATATCTTAATGAATAAGTTTTGAAACATCAGGTAAATCTCCAGTATTTGAATGCACGTGCCAGGCATATCATGACTGACATGAATCAGTAATGATTACATTATTTAAATTTCAACTTTATATTTTTGCAGAGTTTTAAAGTTCCTGTTGCTTCAGACAATGGATGAGCAATCACAAGGAATGCAAGGGCCACCTGTTCCTCAGTTCCAACCACAGGTAATGTATTCTAATTGAGGTGGTCATAAGTGTATATATCTATATTAAATATGTGTGAGTAAGGAAATAGTACATTTACAGTTCCTTTAGGAAGTAAAGTAGCCCAAAAAGGCTAATTTTGAATTTCCAAGTTTTAATCAGAATTGTCTGTTTTAAAATATTATTTTATAATGCTTAGTTTTCATGTACAAACATGAAAACAAAAGGGCAGCAGTAGCTTTTAACTTTATTTATGTGACCAATAGGCTTTAAGGGTTAATGTTAGACTTAGAGAAGGGAGAAAAAACTAAGAGGTGAGGCTGCGCCTGGGTTTTGGGGGTACCTGTGTGTTTTGTACCGGCCTCTGCCTTGGTGGGCTGATCTCGCCTTGCCCACAGCTGCCTTCCGTTACTCTTTTCTCTCTCTGATTAGTAGCGTATGTCATTGCTTGTTTCTCGTACCATAAAATGAAATAAAGAGAATGTTTAAGTAAAAAATGTCCACACTGTTGAAATCCATTGTTCCTTATAAAGCTCAATATGTAATGTAGGACATGTTTAAAATAACAGTGTGCCTAAGTGGGGCACTACCTCATTGTTATTGCTGTAATTCATGAAGACTTTCTCAGGTTGGTGTTTGAGGCGTTCTACAATACTCATGTGTCTCAGATATACTGTGCTTGCCACGTTGTCCCAGTTTTGCTTGGATGATACTCACATTTCTGAAAGTGCTTGAGGAATTGATGAATGTTCTTTCAAGTGAGGTCTGTGGTCGTCAGATAGGTTCGGGAGACACTGGGTAGAGAGTGGCTTTATGGCAGTACTTCTTCAGTGTCTTTCCTGTGCTAAGGTGCATTGTGAATCTTGATGAAGTGATACAGGTGTGATGTCTTCCAAACTCCTTGGTCTATGGAATCCTTCTTTTTAGTGCTTCTGTGGACTTCTCCCAGAAGCACAGTTCAGAAAACACTGCCTTCAAAACACGATTTTTTCTGTTTCTGTGACTTGCTCATCTTGCACCTTCCGTCTTCCGCTCCTAATTTTGAAATCCTGCTCATTGTTCAAGGACCGTCTAAAATGCCATCTCTACCTTGAAACTCTGTCTGATCTTCTGAGTGCAGTACTTGTATCTTTCCTTGGAAACTTGGTGATGTATTCTTTGCATCTCTCTTCTGACATTTCTGACACTTTCTGTTTTATTAATTTTTTTAATATGGGCCTTTTCCTTCTCTCTTTTATTAGGTTAAAATCTTTTTGAGGGAAAGGACTGTGTCTTATGTACCTGTGGCACATCAATTTCTCACATGTGGCAGGGGCTCAGTAAGAATTTGTCATTGAAATCAACCAGGGACGATTCAAAATTAACGTTTAAATTAGCCCTCTACTTAATTTTACATTGTTTTTCTTTGTTATACCTGTCTGAATTCTCTGTTTTAAGAGACCCATGTGCTTAAAGGAGAGCCAGTATTTTAATTTCAAGATTGTTTTTCAAATGTACCATCTATATTTTGTGTTATGGCCATAAATTGTATTATCAAGATTATAATAAGCAACCTCTACTTATTAGATATAAACATATCTTAGTGCCAGTTTTACACACACAAGCAGACACTGTTCTTTCATATTGTTTCTAGTGAAGATGATAAAGGAACCGCTCTAAAAATTACGTAGTTCATGTTATGATATTGAAATTCACAGTTTTGAACTGCCCTGTGTTTTAAAGGAGAAAACCAGAGAAGGCTGGAGTGGCAGTAGGAGGTAAAAGCGAATGTAGCTGTGTCCCTGTGAGACACGGGGCTGGCACACAGTGTAAACTCCACAATTTCAGAAGTGGTTTTGCGTGTCTCTTCACATGGTTCCTTTCGTTTATGCCTCCTGCTGCTGCTCCTGTGTGAGTGCACCTCTTTCCCTGTTGGAATAGGCAAGTGTCATCCCAGGTTCTAGCTGCCTTGTGGCAAGTGGGGGAAGGGAGAAGGATTTGTCTCCCTCTCTGCGTGCAGACTGACGGCGTGAGACAGTGAAAGAAAGATAACCTGACAAGCGCTTACAGGCTTTATTGCTTATTGGGTCTTTGAAAAATGCTACTGTTCTCAGTAGCATTACTTTAAAAGACTGGGAAAGGACAGCCTCTGCTTAGGGTTGACAACGTTCTTTTGTTTTGGTTCCACACCATTGGCCTGAATAATGGGGGTGATATGACAACATATGGTTAGCCCAGTGACTTCTTTCACTTTTGTAATGTAAATCTGGACATAAGCAGAAAACTAAGGAAGTCAGCTAAGTGTCAAATACCAGTTCTCTGTTATGATGATGAGTGATGTATATTCCTGACATATCCTTTTTTTTTTCTTATTTCAAGATGAATACCCTGACCCCATAATGCATAATATGTGGTCTCATTCATTTTTAGTACACTATTTTTTTTTTTTAAACGTTTTAGGATGTGAGATTTATTAATGTTTTTTGCACTATCGTTATTGTCTTAAGCTTAAGGGTAATTTTTTCTGTCAGCTTTCCTTTTTTCCTTCTTACCTTCCTTCCTTGATTCTTTCTACTACAGTCTAGAAGGTACTGAAAGGATATATTGACTAGATTCTTGTCCTATATAGCTTTTTAAAAAATTATGAATTCAGACTGTATAAAAGGTGGTGACAGAGAAATATTAAAATATTTACTTTTTACTGTAAGGCTACTTTTAAACAATGGAAGTTTACAACTAGCATTTTGTGAGTATTTTGATTTATGGTCATTGAGTGAAGAAGATTGTGGTACATTCACTTTTTTTAGTCATAAAGTGAAATACAAAACAATTATAATTACAGTGCAGTTGTAAGAATTTCTGGGAGTTAATAGAGGGAGGATTAATTTTAATTGTAATAATGATTAGAGGTTATGCTTTTTCTTTTCTTTTTTTGTAAATTTGAAAATTGTGTAATATTTTGGCTATCCGTGAAAGAGGGAAGGCATCTCAGATCTACTGGTAGAAAAACAGACATTCCTTATTTTTATAGCTTGGAAAGTATGAGAATCTTATTTTGAAGTCTTCTCACTCAGCCAGTGGGATCGACTCTATTAAGCAGTGCAAACTACAGTCCATTTATGATTTTGCCTTTTCTGTAGAGTGAGCATGAAGAGATGAGATGAAGTTTACCTTGTAGCATGTTTAGGGTAGTAATTAGGGTTCATTGTGGGTTAGAAGGAAGGTAGCCACCAGTGAAGTCTTGAGTGGGAAAGATTTTGGGACATGATGATATTAATTTTCCTCTCTCTCTAGCTTATCTTCCAGAGTTACTTTCTTTGAGAAATAAGGGTCATTCAACTTGCTTCTTGTGATAAACTGTTTTTGCCAAGGTAACTGTGAAGTTGAGTGGAACTTCTAACTTTGGAAGTCTTTATAGAAATTTAGATGTTACATTCTTATAATAACTTATTTCATTGAATAACTTTATCGATGTAGATACAAAAGAATGAGCAGTAGAGTTTTGAGGAAAGAAGACTCTTGCCATAGTGTTAATTCATGGCCATGAACCACAATGTTGCTCAGCAATCAAATCCTTAGTCCAGTTACTCCCACTGTCCTCACTCCCAAATATCTTTTTTCCTGCTTCATATCTTTTCTCTCCTCAAACCCCCAACATATCCTTCACCATCCTCACTCTCACCCGATGCCCTTGCTCCAATTTCACTGAAAAAACTAAAGCAATCAGAAGAGAACTTCCATAGACTCCTATGGTGGGCGTCCCCCTCCCCGACTCTGCCCGTGGCGTCCGCCCGTGGCCGGGCGTCCCCCTCCCCGACTCTGCCCGTGGCGTCCGCCCGTGGCCGGGCGTCCCCCTCCCCGACTCTGCCCGTGGCGTCCGCCCGTGGCCGGGCGTCCCCCTCCCCGACTCTGCCCGTGGCGTCCGCCCGTGGCCGGGCGTCCCCCTCCCCGACTCTGCCCGTGGCGTCCGCCCGTGGCCGGGCGTCCCCCTCCCCGACTCTGCCCGTGGCGTCCGCCCGTGGCCGGGCGTCCCCCTCCCCGACTCTGCCCGTGGCGTCCGCCCGTGGCCGGGCGTCCCCCTCCCCGACTCTGCCCGTGGCGTCCGCCCGTGGCCGGGCGTCCCCCTCCCCGACTCTGCCCGTGGCGTCCGCCCGTGGCCGGGCGTCCCCCTCCCCGACTCTGCCCGTGGCGTCCTCCCGTGGTTGGGCGTCCCCCTCCCCGACTCTGCCCGTGGTGTCCTCCCGTGGCCGGGCGTCCCCCTCCCCGACTCTGCTCGTGTCATCCTCCCGTGGCTGGGCGTCCCCCTCCCCGACTCTGCCCGTGTTGTCCTCCCGTGGTTGGGCGGCCCCCTCCCCGACTCTGCTCGTGGCGTCTGCCCGTGGCTGGGCGTCCCCCTCCCCGACTCTGCTCGTGGCGTCTGCCTTTTCTGTTGTTGCCAACCCTGTCATGAGCACTAGATCCCACCTCCGTCCCCTGCTCACTTTAGCCCCTCTACCAGGTCCTTCCTATTAGCATACTTCTGTGCTATTGTTTCTCCTATAAAACCAGACCAAAGAAAAAGTAGTCAACAGCTAACAGCCTTTGAAATTACTCTTCCCTCTAGCTGTTAACTTATTTGTCTGTTCCCTTTTACAGCAAAATTTCTGGAATGATTTCTGCATAGTTCTGTCTCCCATTTCTTCTTTCTCTCTCACATCTGCTCCAGGTAAGCTTTCTCCCCCACTATGCCACCTAATCTGCTCTTCTCGAGAGTCCCAGTTACCTAGTGTTACTCAATCCAGTGGTTAGTTCTCAGGCCTCGTCTTATTTAGCTGCATTTGATAGACTTGATCAGATTCTTTCTATTCTGTACTTGATTTCCAGGAATCTTGTTTTTCTCTTGTCTCATTGGTCCCTCCTTTGTTGATTTCTCATCACCTCCTGAACCTGTTTATAGTGGCGAGCCCCGGTACTCAGTTCTTATACTTCTTCTCTACTTTTACCCTTTATTACTTCTTGATTTCTTCCAGGATCATGATTCTATGTCGGTGGCTCTCAAATAT